TGATTTTGGAGAGCTTGATTATTATATGTCTTGGTGTTTTTCTTTTAGGGTCTATCCTTCCTGGGGTTCGTTGAGCTTCTCTTTTCGCTTTTCAGGATGTTAGGGAATTTTTCTTCCCGAAGTTCTTCAACTGTCTCCTCTGTGGACTTGTGTGAATGTTCCTGTTTTGGAATGCCAATAATTCTTAAGTTAGTCCTCTTCATGGTGTCCAACATGAATCTTAGACCTTCTTCAGATCTTTTTATCCTTTTTTCTGTTTGTTATTTTATCTTAGTGGTATTGAGAGATTTATCTTCCAGTTCACTAGTTCTGGCTTCCATCTCTTCAATTCTACTCCTTTACCCTTTCAGTGATTTGTCCATTTCTGGTATTCTATTATTAATAGTTTGGACCTCTTTTTGTAGGTTTTGAATTGTTTCCAGTGCTTTATCAATTTCATTTGATTGCTCCTTTAGTGCTTTCTTGACTTCTTATTTTTCTCAACTCCATTGTAAAGTGTTTTGATACATTTTATAGTCATTTTTCTGAATTCCTTCTCAGGCATTTCCAAAGCCTGCCCTTCTTCCAGTATGGAGTGTAGATCTACCTGAAGCTCATTTGTCTCAGTCACTTTATCTTGTTTCTGGACATGTGTTGATATGGTCATATGTTTCTGTTTTTTGGGCATATTCAGTAGTTATCTGTGGCCTTAATACTGTTTGTCTTCATTTTGAGTTGTTCTCCATCACCACATGAAGGTCCCGTGGGCTTCTCTCCCACGGGCTTTACGCCTTTCACATCATCACGCACAATTGTACTTTGAGAGGAGGCAGCTCTTCCCAAGTCGCATTTTGAGTGACTTCCAACCTGAGGGGCTCATTTTCAGGCACTATATCTGATAGTGTTTCTCTGCTATTCATAAGGTTTTCAGTGACTAAATATTCGGAAGTAGTTTGTCACTTTTTCTTACTAGTCTGTCTTCGTCTGAAGCTCATCTGAAACCTGTTCATCATGGGTAACCCTGCTGGTATTTAAAATACCGGTGTCATAGCTTTCAGAATCACAGCAACTCAACAAGCCACCACAGTATGACAAACTGACAAACTATTATATTCCAAAAACAAGAGGACCCTAGTACCATCAAGGGAGAAGAGCACCAGTGGAATTGTGGGACCCTATCCACAGAAGCAGTGATACCAAAGTTGGAGGCAGCGATGAGGACATGGAAAGATAAGAGTAGATGAGGACTCTAGACTCATGGGAAGAGAAAGGCTGTGTGCTGGCAGCCAGGAGGCAGGCTTGCAGAATGTGCCCTTTGGTTGATGATTATATATTCCTGAGTGTTTTTGTGTATATCCAAAAAAGAGAGAGAAAACAAGAGGGAGTAGAAGCAAATACTGCTAAATGCATGGAGGGGAATTTAATCATTGCAAGGCAACAAAATACAATAGGATGAATGCAACACCAATGTTCTCCCATGTAAGCAATCACTCAATTCACAATAAAAGCTTTAAAAAATGAAAGAATGCTGGTCTTTAGAACTTCCCTGGAAGAGAATCCAGACCTTATGATGATTTTAGACCTGGCTGATATTTGGACTAGTTAGTAATGCTGTATGAGACATTAGACCTGGTTCTGAGCCTTCTGTTCTCCAGGAAAACCATAGCCAGGAGGTACCACAAATGTTGGTAGACTATCTGATGTGTGTTGCAGATTATCTCTGAAAACTGGAATCTCTTGCGGTCTCTGGCCATAACTCTATGGATAATAGCAGTTAATTTTCTCTTTGCTTTGTAGGTAGAGCTCTTTTTCATTGGTACCAAGGAGATAAATCATAAATTCTGGATTGTATGCTTTGAGTGTGTTTAGTCATTGCCACCTTTGTCCCTTGTTTTATTTTGGTTATGTTTGTTTGTCCCTTATTTTAAGGAACTCCACAAACTCTTACCTCCTATAATCTCTTCTATTGTGCTTGATTAGAGCCCAGATTTAAAAAAAGAAACAGATTTGATCTTCACATCTGCTCAAAGAAATGGCACTCTCTATGGAGTCCTGGAGTTCTGGTGTGGTGCTGTGGGTTAATGCGCCAGACTGCAAAGCTGTTTGAACTTCAAGGTTGGCGCTTCAAGCTCCCTAGCTGCTCTCAGAAACCCTATACAGGGTCGCTATGGGTCAGAACTGACTCGATGGCATTTAACAACAACAAACATAATGTTTGCTTCCCCTTCCTCCTCCTCCTCTAGTACCCCCCGCTGGAAAGAAATCTAAAGTTATTTGTCTTACCTTAAGATTAAGGCTAGATAAGGATTACTAAATTCTTTTATCTTCTCTATGGTTTTTGTTTAACTCTTTGTTGCAACCTTATGTTCAACATTGCAAAACGTTGCCCAGTCTTGTACCATGCTCACAATTGTCCCGATGTTCTAGCCCCTTGTGTCACTTCATCTCTTTGAAGGTATTCTTTTTTTTTCTGACCTTTGACTTTACCAAACACACTGTCTAAAATACATGAGACACAGTTCTCCCTTCTAAGAATCATTTTTGCTGTACTTCTTCCAAGACAGGTTTGTTTGTTCTTGTAGTGGTTCATAGTATATTTAATATTCCTTGGTCTTCCTTCATCATTGGTCAGCTTTCAGGAGCTATGAAGCAATTGAAAGCACCATGGCTTTGGTCAGGAACACCTTAGTCCTCAAAAACACGTTGTGTTCCGTTGAGTTGGTTATGATTTATGAAGACCCAGTATAGGGTTTCCAAGAGCAGCTGGTGGGTTTGAACTGCCAACCTTGCAGTTACCAGCTCAGTGTTTATCGTACAGTGAGAGCTTTTATTTCAGAGAGTTTGTGCTAACTAGTGAATTGTAGCGTGGTGAGTGGGGATGTTATATGTAGGCTGGTACCCATCTTTTGATGTTCTAGAGCAGGAGTTCTTATCCTCTGGTCTGTGGTATAGGGAGTTGGCGAACTCATTTAAGAACGTGATTTCATCATATTCCTAATGGCATCCTTTGTGTTGAAAAAAAATATTAAGAATCGCTAGTCAAAGAAAAGACTGACTGGGGGAAGATAGAGCTGTTTACTATCACCTAGCAGTAAAGTAATTCAAACACTTCTTCCTCCTAAGCCAACTCTCTCATACTCTAGCTGTCTCCCAACTGGTGGTTATCATTTTCCTGCCACCCCTGCTGTTCCTGTCTATGATCAACAGCTGCTCACTTCCTCTAGAAAGGAAACACCTTATCCAGCACAAGGGATCATTTAAAAATTGATGCTTATACTGTGTATTTTTCTTTATTAAGTGAGAGCCTAAGACAACTGTGTGTCTTTAAGAAAATTGAGAGGCGTTCCATACCCTGGCCTTGTCAACTGACCATTGGCTCCAATTTATCCATAAAGATTGTGGCCTATAAAGCGGTAAGTGGTAGGTACACTTTTAAAAAAAGAAATCGATGACAGATAAATATGCTTCTGTAGCGACCGGCAGTTCCGGGCTGGACCACTCAGCACTGTAGTGCAGCTGCTCTAGCTGCTCGCCTGCTGTACCAAATCGCCACTTAGCTTCTCCTGTGAAGGACCTTGTATAGGAGTCCCCGGGTGGTGCTTAAAACAGCCAGCAAACAAAAGGTTGGCTGTTCAAATCCACCGTCCATGCCACAGGAGAAACATGTGGGAGTTTGCTTCAATTTTACGGCCTAGTCCTCTGTCCTGCAGGGTTGCCATGAGTCAAGATCAACTCGATAGCAGTGGGTTTGGGTTTTAGTGGGTCAAAGGGATCCCAGCAGAGAAAGTTTTAACAAGTGTTTGCAATAGTTTGATGCCCCCCTCTCTCCCTCTATATGTAATTGAGAGTTAATCATGTGTTTCAGGCCATTTCTTTCTTTTTTTTTTTTTAAGAAAGAATATGAATGTATTAAGTTGTGTGCCATTGAGTCAGTTCAGACTTATTTCTGAACTGTAACTCTGAACTGTTTCTGAGGCTGTAACTTTATGGGAGTAGAAATCCTCATCTTTCTCCAGCAAAGTGCTGATGGATTCGAACTGCTGATCTTGCAGTTAGCATCCCAGCGTATAATCCACTGTGCTACCAGGGCTCTCGTGTCCTTGTAGTTTCAGAGCAGAAATGTAGATATGTACCAGATTTTTAAAATTCAGCATTTTGGAGACTCAGTCACATCTAATTCAGTTATTAATGATTTGGTAGCATCATCATCTATGAGCTATCAACAATTGGTGAGCTATTACCATGTAATTACATTTAAAAATATATATTTATACATAATTATTTGTTGTTTAGTGCTGTGGAGTTGTTTCCAACTCAGCAACTTTGTATAGAGTTTCCAAGGAGGAGCTGGTGGGTTTGAACTGCTGACCTTGTGGTTTGCAGTCTACTGCTGATCCTATAGCGCCACACCAGAAGTCCTTATACATACTGTTGTTGTTGTTGTTAAGTACCATGGAGTTGGTTCTGACTCGTAGTGACCCTGTTCAGGGTTTCCGAGGCTGTAAATCTTTATGGGAGCAGAAAGTCTTATCTTTCTCCTGCAGAACAGCTGGTAGTTTCGAACTGCTGACCTTGAGGTTAGCAGCCCGATTTGTAACCACTACGCTACCAGAGCTCCTTTTATACATAATAGAACACTTTAAAACTGAAGTGCGTGTGGTGGTGATTTGTTGACATTTCAGTCTGATCTGGGGAATTACCACATGAGGCTCCTTATCTATTTTTTCTTAAAGTGTTCCAAAAAATTGTATAAAAGCATTTTTATATGAGGGGACTTCAAAAAGTTTGTGGAGATATGGAATGAAGCGATAATGACGTTCTCCATGAACTTTTTGAAGCCTCTTTCTATATCCCCCCCCCCCCCC